TCCAGAGCTAATTTTATCAAGAGCGGTAGATGATCAGATATTAATTCATCTGCGCCGGCAACTTGTATACTTAACAAATCAGAATTTTTTTTTTTTTTTTTTTTTTTTTATTTATAATCCAACTTATTACTAATACAGTAGCAACTTTTTTGAATTTTGGTAACAGCAAGTCATAGCTTTGGGTTTAAAATATATAACGTTTTTAACTATTAACGTTTCGATAGCAGTTAACATTAGCTTAACATTTCGATAAAAGTGGGACACGATAAATTTGTCTTATTTTCTATTATTTACATGTTATGTGTGATCTGGTCACACTTAATTACACGTGCTGGTTATTATTGCATCGAACAAACATTACAATTAGATTAGTATATTACTATTAATAATATAATTGCATTTAGTTGGCTAATATATACTTTATCTTTCTATTTCAGGATCCGGGCAGCACTCGACAGGACAACCAACCTCAGGCCGGGAGTTTGCATGCCTTCTGGGCACCCCACATCGTTGAAGTTTATCAGCAGGTAAGCCATCATTGATCCATTCCTCCACTTAGGCAGCCTACGACTCAGGATGAATATGGCAGCGCCACAGGAGTTATGCTACTCCCGCGTCTCCTCATTGCAATCCGCATGTTTGTGGGAATGCGGCCGCCAAGGCAAGCCACTGGTAGCAGTGCAGTTTGTGCAGCCAGTGTAGCGCTAGCTGTATGCATTGGCCCAGGAGCAGCCACATCACCGGTGGCGGGATGAGCTCTCACTCCAGGCAGCAGCCCGCGCATTGGTCGGTTTGATGGCTGTTCTGGCTGGTTGGCGCAGCAATTTGGAGTACGCATTCTAATTCTCCCTCTTCTTCTTCTTCTTTGAGGTGCCATTGATGGCGGTACCGTTGTTGCAGTCGCACTCGCATTCGCCGCGATCGCTGTCATCGTCACTTCTGGCGGACACAAGAAGTGGAAGGAGCATGGCCCCATCATATGGGGACGAAGTGGCCGCCTCGAGCATCTTCCAGCAGTGCAGGGCAACATCTGTAAAGAAAGAGCATACGCAGCTAGCATAATATGTGCAGGCACTGTCACCAGGCCTGCAATTAGTGTCCAATGGACGAGCCGGAATGTCGACCGCATGCCACAGCCTTGGTGTCGCACACGTCTCGCCAATGCATGCGCACGTGAGTACGAGGGGTGAACCTCTCTTAGTTGCTGCTCTGTCCTCTTTTCATCAGCATCCAGGGCATGTTCTAATCTGGTTCTAATTTCTTTCAGCCCCTCATCAAGCAGCGCCTCTTGTTCAGCTGTATCGCTCAGCTGGTCCGTAGCCAGTATGGAAGCAGTCGATGATGGTAGGACTGCTGCAGGCATAGCATCCATTGCTGTAGGAGTAGATATTGACGCCGCAATTGTCGTGGTGGCCATCATGGCTTGTGACGCCTCCGTTGTCTGACTTGGGGTTGAGGCCGCTAGTGCATCCATCATCACTGAAGTTGTTGCTGCAGAGGTATGTTGCAGTATAGCCGCTTCCAGCGTTGGAGTTGTATCTGGTGCTGCCGCAGCCGCTGGAGTTGGTGTCGCCGCGTTTTGAGCCTCTTCAGTTGTTGTCATCGCTGGAGTTGGATTTGGATTTGCTAGCGCTGTCGTCGTTGTTGGATTTGATGCCAACGATACCAGGACTGCCGCTGTGGCTATCAGCATTGGAGCTGGAGCTATTGTTGCTGACGCCAGGGGGTCGTCATCTTGATCTTCATCATAGTCAGGTACGATGATTTTCTTAATGGCTAGCGGCTGACGTTGAACACGTGCTACTGCCGCCTCTCTGGTGATACGCCCGTCTTTATAGTCTCTCCTGTATCTGTTTATTAGAGTTTCGCAAAGTCTGCTCGGTGGAGGGCCAGTTCGTAGCTCATGAAGTCGCCTCGCCCTGTTGCTTGCCTGTCTGTCCGCCTCTTGTCGTTGCAGCTCTTCCGCTTCAAGACGAATCAGTGTAGGTAGGGGAATCGTTGGTCTTCTGCTGTTGCTGGTAGTTTGCGTAGCCTGAGTGCCTAGTGCCTGGAGTGGGAGTATATGGCTTTGCAGCTGTCTCATATATCTCGGCCTGAGGAGCCGCTGCGGCTCATATGGATTCTCTATAAGGCCTCTTGCTTCAGGGTTGCAGTGGACAGCCAAGGAGTTGGCAAGACGACTACTTGCCTGTTCAAAAACCTCTGCAACTGTTTTGAATCCATACTTCAGATTTATAGCGGCGTTGCGTGTGAGCCAGGGCACGCGCAGCGCTCTTCTTATTATTCTATTTTGCATGCCCTGGATGCGTGTGATCTGCGACTCAGTTGTGAGGGCACCCCAAATAGGCAGGGCATATTGCCACAGCGGCATAATGAGTTGCTTGATTAGCACAGCTTTGCAGCTCTTGGCCAGTAAGCTGTCTCGGCCAATCATCCAGTCTAGTTTTGCTGCTCTCGTTCTGATTTTTGCCCTTAGTCTTGCCACATGTTGTTTCATGTTCAGTTTCCTATCCAGAGTTATGCCCAAGTATGTGTGCGAGCATTTATATGGGACCGCTTTCCCAAAGACTTTAGGAGTTACTTGCAATTCTCTCCGATTTGATTGCCTTAGAGAGAATAGGACATGGCCTGTCTTATTGGCATTAAGATTAATGGCCCATTTTTTAGTCCATTTCTCAAAATGTTGCAAGTACCTCTCATTGGCTCTAACAGCCATAACCGGCAGATCAGCTGCGCTCATGATGACCGTGTCGTCGGCAAAAGTGGACAGCAGCATTTCCTCTTGTGGCAGTCCAATCCGATTCGTATGCTCTTGGGAAGGCAGTGGCATATCCGAGGAGAAGATAGTGTACAAAATGGGGCCCATAACGCTGCCCTGTGGCACGCCCGCAGACACACGGCCCACCCTAGAGGTAACGCCGTTGCAGCTGACGACGAATGTCCTGTTCTCTAAGTAGCTCTCCAGTATATTAAATAGTCTTATTGGCAGTAACTTGGCCAACTTTAGTAGTAGGCCCTCATGCCATACCCTGTCGAAAGCCTCTGCAATGTCAATGAAGACGGCGGAGCAATACTGTTTGCGCTCGTAGGCACGCAGTATAAACTGAGTCACCCGGGCCAGCTGCTGTTCAGTGCCATGTTTCCGCCTGAAACCAAACTGATGTGATGGCATCGCTTTAGCAAAATCTTCGACTTCGAAGAGTCTGGTGAGCAGCAGCTTTTCGAATATTTTGGCGAATCCAGAGGTTAGGCTGATCGGGCGGTATGATTTAACGTCAGAGGACATCTTGCCTTGCTTTTGGATCATAGTAACTATTGCATGTTTCCACTTGCTGGGGAAGTAGTCAAGTCGTAGCATTGAGTTGTATATTAATAGGAGGTACAACAGTGCTTTCTGCGATAATTGTTTAATCAATTTATTATCAATTTTATCATCCCCAGGTGCTTTGGTTGACTCGAGAGTAGCGATGACAGCCCTCAGTTCGACCATTGTTATTGGCCTGGTTGGGCGCGTGTGATGTTGTTGCTGCTTTTTCACCTGCTTAATCAGCCTCAGATCGTTGCGTACTGCTGTTTGGACGTCGGGCGTATTGACAAATACAGGTGAGAATCTTTCTTCAAGATGTGTGGTGAAAGCTTCAGCCTTCTCACCGGTTGTTTTGGTCCATTTTTGCAGGCTGCTTGGTGGCTGAGTAGCTGGTGGCAGTGCGGCTGATGGCGGGGCGCTCAGGCATAGAGGGAAGTTTGGCTGAGGTTGTCTTTTAATCATCTTCGTAAGTCGCCACAGTTTCCTCATGCTGTACTGGTCGTTGGTGTTGATGCCTTCAAACTGCTTATTGATGTTCTGGTTTTTTAATTTCCAGAGGGCCTTTTTGAGACGATTTTGGGCCGCTCTGTACTGCGCTCTTGCCTCTGGAGTTCGTCTGGCAATTAGAATCCTTTTACAGCGCAGCTTCCATTCGAGGAGCAATTTTGTGGGCTCATCCAGTACCAGGGTCTGGTGACGACAACGACTGCCACGGCCATGCGGAGCGCTGCCATTAGTATTATTGCGAGTTGACAGAACGGCAGCCTCTTGGATATTGCGTAGGAACACCTCAATGGCGTCATCAACGTCAGCTCTGGATCCGATCTCAGTGTTTAGATGTATCAGCCTATCCAGTGCATCTTGGAATTGCCTTGTTCTCGATTCTGGAATCCTGAGGCGCGTGGACCTATTAGCTGGGTTCTCTGCTCGCTGTTGACTTGTAGCGAACAGGTCGACTTTCAGCGGGAGGTGGTCTGAGTCCAGGTCAGTTGTGGATTGTATGTCCATGTGCATGCCATTCATGCTGCCATAGACAGCAAAGTCAATGGCCGATGGGCGTCTGCGGCGAGCGTATGGGAAGTGTGTTGCGCCTCCGGTTGCAAGAATGTTGAAGCGCCTTCGTGACTGGACAGCTTCGAAGAGCGCTTTGCCTCTCTGACATGAGCGTGGATTGCCCCACCAAGAGTGTTTTGCATTCCAGTCGCCGCATACTATGAAGTTTGATGAAGTTTCCCCTGATAAGTTGTCAAAGTGATTGAGCAATCTTTTGTAGTGATTACTGGACCATTTGAATGTGGGCGGACAATAGACTGGCGCTACGATTATCATTTCTCTTTTGTTTGATTTTTCAGTTACCAGTGCTATTGGGGCACTTTGGATGTAATCCTCGCAGATTGGTTGTAGAGCAGTATGCTTGACGTCAGAGCGGACCAGGATTGCGACCCCGCCTCTTCTGGTTGTGTTGGGATCAGTGGCTACATACTTGATATATCCAGGTACGTCAAGTGCTGTAGAGTTTGGTGCTGTCCTGGTTTCAATCAGCATCATTAACTGTATTTTTTCTTTTTTCATAAAGAGCTCAATTTCTGGCATTTTGTTGCTCGCACCACACGCATTCCAGAATGCAATTTTGAGAGGATTGGCATTCAGGGGGCTGCCGTGGCTGTCATTGCGAGCCTGGATAGGAGTACCTCTAGTCGTCATTTGGCATGTCATTGGCTGTGTCAAGCTCCATGGAGGCTATGCTGCTTGCATTCCTTTGTCTGGATGCCTGCTGGAGTAGTTCTTGCTGTTGATGGGGTTGTGCTGGTAATGTACTGCTAGCAGCTTGGTGTTCAATAAAGCGCATCATAACATTTATTAATTGGTCTATTTTATTTTCTAGCTTATTGAACATGGTTAGGTAGTCGGGTTGTGGCGGCTGTTGCTGATTACGCTGCTGCTCTTCACGCAGTCGATTTTGGAAGCAAGCCAGGTGCTTTTCAGCAGGATTGCTCGATGGGCCTCTATTGATGACGCCGCTTGCCTCCACCTTAGGCAATTGGCTATTTATTTTTGCCTTTTTTGTTGCCTTGGCGCCTGCTGGTCGTTTGTGCTGGGGTTTGCCCAGTACTGGCTGTGGGCGTAAGGAGATATGCGAAGCCTTGAATGGATTTGCTGGTGATGCAGTATTTTGCATATCATTGTCTGAAGGGGATACTGCTGCTTTTGTTGTTTTATTTCGCTGCTGTTGCTGATGCTGTTTCTGCTGGCTCGAGTGGACATCCAGACCGCTGCGAACGACCCGGCTGTATGAGAGTGCGGGAGACTGGCCTGGATGTTGTGGTAAGCTGCTGGCCACATCTACTGCCTTCCGCTGCCCATCAAGTGGCATCTCGTCCGTTAACCGCTTCTGCTTCATCCGTTTTACTTCTGCGATAGCACGAACTGACGAGAGTTTACTTCTGGCCGCCTTGAGGGATGGGCAGCCTTTGTAGCTACTTATGTGCTCTCCTCCGCAGTTGGTGCACTTGGGTGTGGTGTTTCTTTGTTTTGTGCAATCTGTGGAGGCATGATCGCCCGCGCACTTCATACACTTAAATGGCCTTCTACAATAATTCTTGGTGTGGCCATACGCCTGACACCTATGGCACTGTGGAGGATCTACTGGCTTGGCTTGCCGTTCGATTCTCACTGCCTGGTTGCTTAATTCTTTGAGGCTCAGAATATTTAAGTGGCTGCCATCTGCAGTAGGTTGTATTTCTACCTCAAAAAGGTTTAACGGCTTTCCCGTAAAACGCTGCCTGGCGCAGCGTATGTGTCTAACCACATATCCCTTCTCGCTCAATATATTCTTGATCCATTCGCAAGGAGTGGAGTGGTGGATGTTCTTCACTACGATGCGCAAACCCTTCTGGCTGGGCAATTGGTGGGTGTACAGATGTGTTCCATCTTCTTCCAGTGTGGACCTAGCAGCATTATATGATTCAATGTCTTCACATTGGATGCGCAGCCCATTGCTAGGAGTGGCTTTTGTCCTAAATCTTTTGATCAATGGATTGTCCTGTAGCTTTTGCAGTATTGGCATAATATCAGGGACCAGGGGTAGAAATAGAGGGGGGATCTTTATTTGCTTTTGTTGAAGGGGGGCAGGGGCAGTCTTGGGGGCGGGGAGGGACAAGTGGACAGCGGCATTCATATTGGGTTGCCGCTGTGTTAGTTGTTGCTTATGTTGCTCATGTTGCTTCATATTCTGAGCCTGCGTCAGTTTCTCTGTGTATGTGCTGTGTTGTTTGTTTCGTTGTTGGTTTCTTGCTTTTTGATATAGTTCAGTAGCAAATTTGCTCTTGAACTTTGGAGTTATTAGTGGTATCTCAGTGAGAGACAACTCATTAAACCCTTCTTCCTGTGTATCGTCGTCGCTTTCCATTGAGATACACTTTCTTTTCAACGGAGATTGCCAGTTAGTTGCTGCTGTTGTTGTTGGTGCCTTTCTTTTATGAGGGGGGGGAGGAAGTTCATGAGGAAGCAAGGGAGGGACTCTTGTAAGCCACCCTTGTACCTTGATACTGTTGTCTTCCAGTTTTGAGACTGATGTAGCAGTAGTTGTCTGTATGTCGACCATTTGCGCAAGCATTGGCAGCAGTTGTCTTTTTGCGCATGTGTTATGCGCCGTCTTATTTTGTGCAATCTCAGTTTGCACTGCTTGCTGCTCAGCTTGGCACTGCTTCCTTATCTGGTTGTTCTGTAGAGACAGGGGGGAAGTTTCTCGCTTTTTACTGCTTTGATTCGCATTAGTGGTGTATTTGTTTATGTTTGCGTTAGTGTTCTTATTTGTGCTGGCGCTTGTGTTTGTGCTTGTATTTGTGCTCGGTTGCTTCTCATTAGGTCCGCATTTGCTAATGCAAGTGTTGGTGGTGGTTGTGTTTGCGTTCATGTTTGTGTTTGCAGTTATGGTTGCATTTGCGTTTGAGTTTTTGTTTGCGTTTACTTTTGTGTCAGTTTTCGTCTTAGTGGTCTGAGTTTTTGTGTGAGTGTATGTTTGTGTGAGTATGTTTGTGTTTGCAGTTATGATTGCGTTTGCATTTGAGTTTTTGTTTGCGTTTACTTTTGTGTCAGTTTTCGTCTTAGTGGTTTGAGCTTTTGTGTGAGTGTATGCATGTGTGGGTGTGTTTCTTTGAGATTTTTTTTGTGGAGAGAGTTTTTTTTCATTTTCTTTGGGTTGGTGAAATAATGGGAGAGGCTTTTTATTACAGTTTTTTTCCTTTATTACATCTTTTGGCGCGTTTTTCTTTACATACAAGCTGCGAATATGCGGCATCATGTAATTTTCTTCTGGCGCCAAGTCAGAATTTGATAATTGCGTCTCTGCAGGTGCTTCGTCATCCTCTGACAGAAATCTAGTGTCATTGAGTGGTGAGCCTTCGCACGCCTCAATGGACATATCCGAGTCAGATAATAACGACAGTATGTACTCACAGTCTGTTTGCTTAGCAGGAGCAAGTGCGTCCGTGGGCGCTTGCTGCGTTCCATCGTCAGCGGAGGCACTTTGTTTGTTGACAAAGATTACTGTGGGCTCGGTCACGGTGTCGTCAGAATCGCTGCCAGAAGGCATGATGTATGATACATCCATGTCAAGGTCCCTCCCAACCGATATTGGCGACGTATTTGATGATGAGGATTCCGATTGTGGTCCACTCATGGTCTTCTTCTAGGTTCCAGTTTACGTACTTGGTCGTCACTTTATTTTAATTATTGTTAGTTTCCTTTTTTAATTTGTTTGTCCCTTTTTTAATTTTTATTTGCAGCACCACTTCAATAAAAAATCACTTTTTATTTTGTTGAATTTAATTTATTTGCTTTTACTTTTCTTTGCATTTGCATTTGCTTCTTTTTTTTTTTTTTTTTTTTTTTTTTTGTTTGGGCTGGTGCTTTCGCGGCGCGCACACCGAGCGAGGCTGAACAGGTCCGAGCTCTCGCACAGACGGCAGTGGAGTATGCGCCAGCCAATTGCCTGCCGTGAAGCGGCAGTTACAAATTTTCTCTTAGCATTTACTCTTAACACAATTCAACTTATTACTCAATCTAAGCAACTATTTTGAATTTGAATTGCTGCGTTTATCGCACTTTGCTATCAATGTTACTTGGCCCGATAACATATCGGATGCCGTAGTTGTTTTGTGTTACGTTATGCTAAATTAGTTTACAGATTTCTGGTATTTTTAGCATTTTTTTAGCGTACTGACTTATCCGACTATGGTCACACGCAGGCGCCATGCGGAAATGGGATACGAATACTCAAAAGACTGCAAAAACATTGAACGACTTAGGAGATAACATACATTTGGTTTACATATATTAATAATTAATAATTAATTGGCTTTTTTCTTTTCTATCTTTTCAGGTGGTCGCTGGAATCCATGAGGGTCCAATTGGGATGAAGCATCGGGCTGGAGATCGTCGTCAAGTGGGGCGTAGGAGAGGAGGGAAGCGCAGCCAGTCCAGCTGCCTGACCCCCCCCGTCTGCAGCGCCATCCAGTTGTTGCAGTAGTCGTGGGTGAGTACAGCGTATGCATTAGCTT